CGGAAACTCATCTCCAGGTTCTCTCCGCCCCAGATATCCATCCCTTCGTCGTATTTTCCCAATAACTCAAAGTATTGCCTATCGATTGAGAACAAACCGCCGGCCATTGTCGGTGTCCTCACTGGAAGTGTTCGATCGTTTTTTCTTCGGTCCAATTCTCGTTGAGGGACGCGATACCTGTCCCACACCTCACGCTATTATTCATTCAAACTTATTGTAAAGCATATCATTACATACCACCGGAAGTTGAGTTTCCAATTAAATCCACCCCAAGTCATGTCTGAGGCCGGAATGTACTCAAAATTCTCATCACTTATCACATCAATTATAGGACAAACGACTCGAGTTCTAAAACAAAACCATTTAAACATTTAATACAACATAAAACAAAAATGTAAAACAAATAATCACTAAAGCAATCAGAATCATACTTCGGTCAACACATATGTTCAGACATGTGCTTGATCATTGATTATCATCATTTAATACAAGATTAAATTAATATTTTTAAGCATTGCATACCTGTCCTCAACAATTCTGGAGAGGAGTGGTTCGAGCCATCCTTTAGTGCACTCGCAGTGAGCGTCTAAAAAGGTGAGGACATCTCCTTTGGCCTCTTTAGCGCCTATAAGTCTGGCCCGTATTAGACCCGAGCGTTTGCCCGTTCGCAACACTTTCACACTAACCGGTAGTGTTGCCACATATTCCTCTAATTGTTTACCTAAAAAATCTATAAATAAAATAACGCTTTAAGTAAATAAATGATTGCAAATAATAAATTGTGGAAATTTTTATAATAAATGCAAAACATTTTTATCCAATTTATTATTACAAAAAGTGTTTAGCAAGACATCTGTTTTTGTAGATTAATTTTGTTAAACTGTTTAATAGCTGTCTGCGAGGCATTAATACATATCAATTTAATGCTTCACTACAGCATTGTTTGCAAAGTATTGTGATTTATAAATGTTGGATACATTATAGGGGTCTAAGAACTTGAAATTAGCGTTTTCAAACTTTACATTAAAGTTTAATGATTAAACGAATGGTACTTGTTTTGCTTTAAAGTTAATAAGAAAACAAACAGATTTGAGTTGAGATTTCAATATTTCAAGCGAATTAAGACATTTACAGCTCATTTTCTAAGCCATACATTTCAATATAAAATCTAATCTTTCGTTCAATAGATTAATTTCAAGTCCAAACATTTTACTGCCAACTCTTTATAGGCCTAACAATTTGAGTCTTAAAAATATGAACTGCAATTCATTTAAAACAACAATTACCGCTATTATTAAAATATTAAATGAGTTTCAATTAATAATACAATATAATTGCGGACACAGTTTTAATTAAGATAATAAAAATGAATACCTCTTTCGCTGGCGTCATCGACTAAAAGAATCTCTTGGATGAGTGGTTCCGGAGACGTACGGATAATACTATGAACTGAGAATTAAAACATAATTATGAACAAAACGTGTACTCAACTCGACTACAAGACATACCGGTTCGCAATAGTGTACTCCACGCCTCGTTATGAAAGACAATTATTATAGATGTCGAGGGAAGCAGTTTTGGGTGATGTTTACGTCTGCAGCTGTTGGTCACAAGAGTTGATACAAATATAAAATCATTGCTAAACCCATAAAACAAATGTAATGACAAACCCATCCATTCGGACGTCAGGAAGGGATCTGTTAAGAGCTATCCTATCGGAGGCCAAGAGATTGAATTTATTTAAATTAAACTTTTCATTCTTGAGGTCCTCTTCTTCTTTGCCTATTATGACTGCCTTTCCGTTCTCTCCCAACCAATGAGAGGGATTCG